CTGATAGTAAAGAACCTTAGTAGTCAGACCTTTCACCCGCCGAAACAGCCATCCTTGCCAAAGGACACAACTTTGCAGTCACCCCCTCCAGGATCCCGACAGAAGAGATCATCAGCCAAATAGAAACCGCCATCTTCCAACTCCCACCTGAAGCAGGAAGCAACATCAGACAGCAGTCAGCCCAGATCCTACGAAAAGCCAAACTTCCCATCCAAAACTTTAACAGGGAAGAACGACTAGCGCTTCGAAGCCTAAGACAGAATGACGACATCCTCATTCTACCGGCGGACAAAGGCAACGCAACAGTGGTGATGGACAAAAGAGACTACCACACAAAGTCAACACCTTGCTGTCCGACGTCCAAGTCTACAAAAAACTAAAATGCGATCCAACCTCTAGCGTAGAGAAGAAAACCTCCCTGGTCAAAAAGGCGAACCTCCCTCCGCTAACCACGAAATACCTGGCCCCCAGCGACAGCTCAGCACCCAGACTATACGGCCTTCCGAAGATTCACAAAGAATCAGTCCCCCTACGGCCTATCGTCAGCAACATCGGGGGCCCCACCTACCAACTAGCCCGCTACCTCACCAAACCCCTCCAAAAACTTACCGGCCTCAACGACTCCCACATCAGGAACTCAATCGACTTCGTGAACAGAATAACCAAGATCAAAACCGAGCCCAACGACATCCTAGTAAACTTCGACGTGGTTTCTCTGTTCACCAACGTCCCAGTCCAAGACACTCTGGACATCATCAGAACATCCAAAGAGATTCCATCCACCCTGTTCCCATTAATAGAACACTGCCTCAACTCCACCTATTTCCAGTTCGAAGGAGAATTCTACGAACAAACCACGGGAGCAGCAACGGAATCCCCGATATCACCCATCATCGCAAACATCTTTATGGAACACTTCGAGAATGAAATCCTGAAGAAGGCCCCACAAAAACCCTCCACATGGTTCCGATACGTGGACGACACCTTCGTCATCTGGAACCACGGAAGGGAAACTCTACCTCAATTCCTCACTTTCATCATCTCCCAACATCCCAACATCCAATTCACAATAAAGACCGAACAGAATTCCCAAATCCCC